AGTAGTCACACATATGCATTTATATTCTCTCATGAATGACTAATTTTAATTTTTTAAGTAGCAATTCAGCTTGCTTTCAGAATCATTTAAGCTTAGCTCATGACTTTGTTTTCCTTCCCAAACCAACTATTCTTGATTATGAAATAGGGGAAGTTTGCATATTTATTTTTGCAACGACAGTAGACTAAATCCTCATTACCATATGAATATCTTAGTCCTAATACCTCTGTCATAAACTGGGCATGATCATTTAAAAATTCTTCCAGACATCAGGACCATGATAGTTAGATTTAACTGAGAACTTGTAAAACCAAAACCTGACTGCCATGAGGGAAAATCATGCTGTATGCCATTTGTGTGGTTTTTGTTGAGCTTCAGTTTAAGTGGCCCACCTCTTTTAATAGATATTTGTTGAATTACATTGAATGATTCACTATAGGAAGAACAAATATTTATTTTGAATATTCATAGTCCTCCCGCATGTGGATTGCTCTTCCCCCAGATAGCTGCCTAATTCCTACTTCATTAATTCCAGTGGTTTGAATCCTTTGATGCCTCTCAAGAAGGCCTTCTTTACCTTTTCTAAAAATAATTCTTAACACATGGTCTTCTTTTCCCCACCCCCAAGCACCTTGCTGTCCTTTTTTTTTTCTTCTTGGCCTTACTGAGTGTAGTTCTGTTATATTATCTCTCCCATAAAACACGTGCTTCCGGCCCTCCCTGGTGGTGCAGCGGGTTAAAGCACAGCACTGAGAATCTAAAGCCGCTTCCTCATGAGTTCGATTCCCCCCTGCCCCGGAGGTGACCACATGGTGTGGCAGACCTCTCCTGACCCACCCACTGCTCCCCTCAGCAGTGTACTTCCTCGATCTGCCTGTTCTGCTCCCCGCTCTGTCTCTGATGAAACCTCTCGCCGTCCCTGAGCCTCTGGCCTGTACCCCAGTTCTGTATGCACAAATAAATAAATCTTTAAAACAAAACAAAACAAAAAAAAAAAAAAAAAACACGTGCTTCCTGGGGACTTTGTTGTTTTCACTTTGATATCCCTGTATCTTCCAGACTTGGCAACGTGGTAGTTACTCAATCAGTAGATAAGCATGACAGCAGAAGGACTTCAAAAAAGATAGTTCTATATTTCCTAAACAACTACAAAGCTCTGAACCTCGCTTTGTGAGAGTACTATAATAACCAGCATGTGGTGTCAACCCTCTGAGAACTTACAGGCTAGTAGAAGACACAAATTAGAAAACAGCTCTTGTTGGCATGGCAGACCTCTCCTGACCCACATACTGCTCCCCTCAGCAGTGTGCTTCATTGATCTGCCTGTTCTGCTCCCCACTCTGTCTCTGGTGAATTCTCTCACTGCCCCTGTGCCTCTGGCCTGCCTGTACCCCGGTTCTGTATGCAAAAAATAAATACATAAATAAATCTTTTTTTTAATTTATTAAAAAAAAAAAACAGCTCTTGTATGATGATACCTACATGGATATTTTTTGGTTTAAACAAAAAATTGTTTTCTCCTAGTCCTGGGAGCAAGCTGTCCAAGATCAAGGTTTCAATAGGTTTGATTAGTTCTGAGGCCTCTCCCTTTGTCCCTTTCTTGCTGTGTCTCCAAGTGGTCCATCTTTAGTGTGCACATGTTCCTGATGTGTCTTTATATGCCTGATTTCATGTTTTTTCAATTTGTGTTTTATTGAAGTATTATATAAATTTCAGGTATGAATTACTCAGAATCAACATATATGCACTAAATTAAGTTTATTGCTAAAATCTCAGTTCTATCTTTCACCATACCATTGTCCCTTTTTTCCCCAATAAATCTACCTATGCCCTTTCCTCATTCCTTTTGGTCATAGAAAAGTTTGTTTATGTTGTGTTTTTAGTTAATCTGTTTGTCTTTTCTATATACCACATCTGAGTGAAGCTATAGGTGTTTGTCTTTCAATGTGGACTTATTTAACTGGCATAGTTCCCTCTATATTCTTCCATGATATTGCAAATGGCAAGATTTCATCTTTTTTATGGATGAATATTATATTCCTTTATGTATATATATCACATGTTCTTCATCCATTCATCAGTTAATGGACATTTATGTTGTTTTCAGTTCTTAGTTATTATAAATAGTGCTGCAATAAACAGGTGCATTACCTCATCAAAATAATTTTTTTGTATTTGGGGTTAAATACTCAGAAATGGGATGAGTAGGCCATAGGGAATTTCTATTATTAATATTTTGAAGTATCTCCATACTGCTTTCCAAATTGGCTGCACCACTTAATAATCCCACCAAAAGTGTATATATTCTGTTTTACACACACACACACAGAGTATGTAATAGTGTGTATAGGGTTACCTTCTCTGCACATCCTCTCTAGCAACATTTATTACACTTGGATAATTGCAATTCTCACAGATATGAGGTACTACCTCAATGGATGTTCTGATTTTAATGCCGACAGTCACAAAAATTTGTACCTCTGTCCTTTTCTTAGACTATGATTTGAGACTATGATCGTGTAGTTCTTTTTAAAGAGACTACACAAAACAATCATGTAAATAAACTAGCTGAAAGAATTGGACTATCAAACAGACTCGTAAGAAATATAAGTTGTAGTCAATCTTGAATTTTTTTTTAAGGATTTATTTATTTATGCATACAGAACTGGGATACAGGCCAGAGGTGCAGGGGCAGTGAGAGGATTCACCAGAGATAAAGTGGGGAGCAGAACAGTCCAAATGACTAAATACACTGCTGAGGGGAACAGCGGGCGGGTCAGGAGAGGTCTGCTGCACCATGTGGATCACTTCCAGGGCAGGGGATCAAACTCATGCTAAAGTGGCTTTAGCTTCTTAATGTTGTGCTTTAACCCACTGCACCACCAGGGAGGGCCCAGGACCTTACCTTTTTTATATTCATATTCCCCAATATATTCAATGGATATTGTCTGACTCAGTGAGTGTTTGTTAAATATGTGATAAATATTAACGTATGATAAATATTAACATATGGATGAAAGTGTGTTTCTTTTGTTCTATACACTGATAAAGTAGTATACTTAAATATTCCCTGGGACTTGATCCTTACCAATTCAAATAAAAATGGCATGTGCTTATCCTTATAAACAAAGCAAGCCTTTAATAAACTGTCTCAGTACATTTTGGTTGATGTACCAAACATTTTGTTTGATGCAGGGGAACTTTTTCTTCCATTTTCCCTTCCACAGTTTCGATGTAGCGCTTCTATTCCCTTATTATACCTTCCTACAGAAGAGACCATATAGCATCCCTTATAATATTGTTCTCCAAAGCTCTCGGATCCTGTATAATATTGGTGAAATGTTTGAGCACACTAACCACATCGGTACATTTGTTATTTCAAAAATAAGTATTTTGTACCATTTATATAATGAAACATACATAAATCACATTTTAAAGGATGGGATGAAAATCCTAATATTTTCATCCTACACTTCAGTAGCTATTGTGCACTCTTTCCTTGTGATCATCCCACTTTTATTTTTATTCATTTATGTATACAAGAACTGGGGTGTAGGCCAGAGGTGTGAGGGGGTGAGAGGATTCACCAGAGACAGAGTGGGGAGCAGAATAGGCAGATCTACTGAGACACACTGCGAGGGGAGCAGCAGGTGAGACAGGAGAGGTCTGCAGTGCCATGTGGGTCAGCTTCCTGGCTGGGGATTGAACTCATGCTGCAGTGGCTGGCAATAGATTGATAGTGCTGAGATTTTAGTCCCTTAGCTAACAGGGAGGACTCCTATTCATTCTACTTTGAAGATACTACCTTGAAGCAATATACACTACATTCACTTACACATCTAAGTTTAACACTACAGTAATATTAATACCTTTACATTTTTAACTTTTACTTCTGATTATGTATTGAATGGGTTTATTACTTTATATTGCTAAAGTAGTACAGTTTTTAGAGCTAGGGCATACTCTGAAATCATCTCACCTAAATTTTATTGTATTTGTTCTTAACAGTGTTCAATCATAGTGTTTCTACAGAAAAATTATGTAGACTATTTTATGAAATTTGAAAAGTAGAGAAGAGAGGCAAGAAAGAGCTGTAGAAAAGTCTGTTTGTTTAAAAATAATTAATTACACTATAAATATCGGTAGCAATCCTTGAATGAAATGTTATCTTCTTAGGAGATTGTTAATTGTATAAAATTACACATTAGTACTTCTAGACAAAGTTACTGGAAATAGAGGGGTAAGATACTATTTTTCCAGTAAAAGACAGAGTTTAAGGAAGCATCAATTCCACAATGTAGCAGCCTGAGACAGGTATGGAGATTTTAAGCCTGCTCTGTTACCTTTGAGACCTAAAGGAAGCAGAACATAAAAATGAGCCTCTATCAATTTGAAGCTAATCTAATATTTGTAATCATGGCTGTGGTCTAAATCTATTAAAGATGTTCAAATTCAGTGTCCTTGGTAGCATTTTAGGTTGACCTGAATAACGAGCAATAAACTTGTGTATTATAATTCTGGTTCGAAGATATGTGCTTAGGAAGTGAAACCGACAGCCAGTGCTTTGTGTCTGTCTCTAAGCAGACTAAGAGCCTATATAAAATGACAGGTGCATTTTTGGGGAAAGAAACCCATAGTGTTTTCCTATTTAGTTGGTGACAGTATGTCCCAAGATAACACACGCTTAAGGGGCTGGAACAAGCATGGTTATTAAAGGTTAGCAGTTTCTCAGTTCATACAAATTGAATTTTTTCATAGGTTGCAAGACTGTGGAAATCTAGTGTAGAATACAGAAATAAATTAGCATATTAAGTGAATTTATACATTCAGGCTTGTGAGCTCTTTGAATTTAAGGAAGAAATTTTACTACTTCTGGAAAGAAAAAGGCAATTCTCAAATTCTGTGTTTGATCCTCCTGTTGAAAGGACCTATGATAAATGATATCATTTTGATTATTACCCAAAGTGGTTTTTCTATTGATGGGAATATTTTCCTTTCAGCATTACTGATTTAGGGAACATCAAAAGAAGATTGTATTTATCAACGGTCCATAAGGAACTGTCCTCAACCCCTCTTCATGCAAAAATTCCACTCTTCATGATCAAGCGCAAAATTGTAAGTGTCACAAGAATATTGCTTAAAATATTAAATTCAATTCAGCAAATATTAACAATGGGCCTATTCTTTGTATAAGTTGTACCTTGGTAGTATAAAATATAAATAAAATTCATACTCTTCCCTAGAAAAATCTGTTAGGTGAGAGAATATTATTATTTGAACACCTAGAATGTCACCAAAACATATAGGGAGCAGAGTGGAGAGAAAATTTACTACTGGTACAGTGAAAGGAAAAGAAGTTCATCTGGCTACACAACGAGGAAAGGCCTCATGACAGAGATTGAATTTGTTATATACATGGAAAGAATGTGGGATCCTATTGGGGGCCATGGGAAACCCAGCATTCCCAGCTTACAGAACAGAAGCAGAAATCCTGGAGTCTGGAAAGTGGTATCTTTTGGAGAATGATTGTTGCTAATTTTTTTTTTAAATCTCTAAGAAAATATCAGTCTTACAATAATCAATTTATATTGGGAAGTTGGATGAATTTATGCCTGCTATATAACCTTTGACACTGAAAATAGCTTAAGGTATAAGAAAGTAAGCAATAGGGGATAGGCCAATAAACTTGGTATGAGATGAAGTCTCTCTCCAGCTTCAGTCATTTCAGAGCTACTGTCAAGGCTTTACCAGTTAATGAAGTGCCTGTTCTAGTATGTAGCTAATATGTTCCTTTAAGTAAAACCAACTTTTTTTTTTTGGCTTAAATAATTTATTATAAAAGAAAACTTGGTATGTCCCCTATAAATGAAAAACGAATGAAGCTTATTTTCCAGAAATAAAATGTAACCATAAAATATGCACACTCAAAACAAATCAATATAAGTACTGTTTCCTGGGTAATATGGTCCTGAGATCTGCTCATTGTTAACTAATGAGTTTATCAAACGTTTGATAGACGTTTAACCTTTCCCCCAGGAATACTCAGGAATAAGTGAAAATTGATATAGGGAAATTCATCCTGAGATCCAAAATAAATGACATTTATCCTGTCATTTAATGCCACTGCCATATACCATCTAAAATCAATTCACAGATGGTGCATGTTCCACTCTTTGGGAAACATAGTAGAAAAAAGAAAGCCATTATATTTTCGATTTGGAGCACACAATCAGTTCTATATTTTGGTTAGATTAATCTGGTAGAGATATTTGTAATGGTTTGCAGGGAACAGAAGAAAGTAAAGATGAGATCACTTGCAGTAATCCAGATGAGCATTATTAAGGATTATAAGTGGTATCAGTAGAGGAAGGGAAATGAGGTAGCAGCAAACCTTGTAGCGGAATGAGCTAAAACATATAAACAGAACTTTTCTGTATTGGTACATTCTATGAGAAAAGGAATCATGAGGTTAGAGAAGTTCCTCTGAAGAAGGGAGCACCAGAGCTGGGCATTGGAGGATGGGAGGGAACTAACCAATTCAAGTGCTGTGCTCCTAGAACAGAATTAAGAGTAGTTGCATATGGTATGCAAGCAATCTCACTGATCAAGTGCTGCTGAAGAGAAAGCAGGATAGTGGGGAGGTGGTAAAGCTGGAGAAGTAAACAAGGACAACCTCTGGTAGACTCTTTTTCTAGTCATGGAACCTGGACTTTTACCGCATGGGTTATAAGGAGTCATTGAAAGACTTAAAGCAGTAAATAGTGATATGATCAGATTTGCATTCAAAACAGAGCATCACTTTAGAGATAGGTGGGTAGGATTGAAGACCTGCAGGGCCAGTTAAAAAACACTATAGATGTCATGGGGAAACTAGACCCATGAGAGAAATTTTGTCTATTTTCTTGCTCTTGTACTCCCAAAACCTATAGCAGCACTTGGTTTTAACACATAAATGTAAGTAGGTGGGCATATAGAGGGATAACAGCATGGGTTAAGTATATCTAGTAGCAATGAGGTGCTTGAGTTGAAACCAGGATGGAGAGGAAAGAAAGTTGAAAAACAGATGTTAGAAAAGAAGAGGAAATAGCAAAAGGTTTTTAGTTTTGGATAATTGAATGGTAGATGGTGGTCACAAAGAAAGAATCTAGGAAAAAGAGCAAGTTTGAAAGGGAAGGTATAAATATTAATTAAGGGTCTCCAAGACATTCATGTTGAAAATTTTGAAACTACATACATGATAAAATCCCAGGGAGAAGTCTCATCTGAATATTTAAGTGAGTTTAGCATAGAAGTAACAGTTAGTCATGAGAATGAACAGCATTGCCTGCAGAGAAAGTACAGAAAAGCAACAAGAGTCTAGGGAAGAAAATGCAAGGGCCTTCCCAATAAAGGTTAGGCACAGGAAGAATCCACAAAGGAAACAGGGCCAAAATGAGAAAGTGATGTGAAGCAGAGAAAAGTATTATAGAAACCAGGCATGTTTCAATAAAGGAAAATTGTCAAGATGTGAATGTATTTGGGGATGTTGCAATCAGGAGAACATTAATAACTTCAGTGAGAAGTTTTGGCCTATCAAGAAGGCCAAAGAACAAAAGGTAGAGACAATAAGTGTATGCTGACCATTTCTTTTAAGTAGGCATATCCATTGAACTTGATGTTGAGTAAAGAGAGAAATCATTTTTCTCAAAGATTTTGAGTCTGGGAAACTCAAGAGATTGATGCTCAGTAACAGAAGGGCTGTGGGATAAATTTTATCTGTTTGCAGTATAATTCTTTAAAATATATATTTCATACTAAACATTCATAAATGCTCAAAGACAAATATTATATTCTCCAGCTAGCTATTCAAATTAAATCATTTAAGACATTGTGGAAATGCCTTACTGTCTCACAAATAAATATTGTTTTCATCTTCTTTTACTTAGGTATTGATTTCTTATTCATCTAGGATTGTTTAGAGTTCAATGTTGGTTGAGTGGTTTCCAAGAGTTAAATCATACGTGAGCCAATACACTATTTTGTATGTGGCTAATAAATCATATTTGTCACTACCTTGTTTTAGTGAGTTCAGTCACCTTGTCAGTTAACTAACTCTGAAGTTTCTGGATATTGTATTAAAATCTAATCTCATTATTTTCTGTACATGACTACCTGCAGCATATCCTTCATCCAGTGACATTATTGAGCTTCTAGTATTTGAAAGTAAAGTTTCATATTTCTGCAATAAGCCACACAAGTATTTTGTTGAGACAGGAAGTAAACTTGATTGAACTACCTTTTATATTTAATAAATGAGTTCTTAAGATAAATATGTGCTAGAAGCACAGGTTATCTCAGGACATAAGAAATAATACTATTTAGACTTAGACATAAAATAATTGTAGGTCTACAGGGCAGTGTTCCATAGCTCATCTGTCTACCCTTATCTTTCCCACTCCAGTCAGATGGCTCAGCAGCACCTAGAAAAGAGATGCAGGTACAGAAGTTACATGTAGTTGTTTAAAAAATAATCCTCATGTGAAGAAATCAGAGTGGTTTCCATCTTAGGTGACTTCAGTTCTTGCTAAGTTTTAAAAAATGAACCAGTCACACTATAGCTGAAAGTTTACTTCTAAATGTTGTTAAATTTAGAAAGAATTGTTCAGATATGTGCATGTACACACACACACATACACACAGAGAGATGGAATCTGACTCAGCTATAAAAAGATGAACTGTTGCCATTTATATAAACATGGAACTATGTTATATGAAATTAGCCAAGGAAAAAAGCAACTATTAGGTGATTTTACTCATGTGGTATACAGGGGAAAAAAGCAAAGATCCTAACAAAACTAAACCAGAACAAACCCTAGAAATATCACTGCAGAATTGAGACTGCCAGAGGGAGAGGGGAAATAAAGGTAGAAACAAGTGGTATAAAAAAAGTGGTGACATTATAATGGTAAAAGCACAGTCTAGTGCCCTCCCAGGTGGCGCAGCGGGTTAAAGCACAGCACTGAGAAGCTAAAGCCACTTCCACATGAGTTCGATTCCCGCCTGCCCCAGAGGTGACCACATGGCGCGGCAGACCTCTCCTGACCCGCCCGCAGTGTACCCCTCAGCAGTGTACTTCATCGATCCGCCTGTTCTGTTCCCCACTCTGTCTCTGGTGAAGCCTCTCGCCGCCCCTGAGCCTCTGGCCTGTACCCCGTTCTGTATGCACAAATAAATAAATCTTTAAAAAAAAAAAAAAAAGCACAGTCTATTCTATGGAAACACACACACACACTCAAACACATGCAATAATACATTTTTATAATGCACAATGATAAGGATAGCACAGCCACAACTTCCCCTCCTCAACACCCATTGCTCCTTATAAGAACTTTGGATGATTTGCTTTTACTGGGAAAATTACTTTTTAATACAGTACAACAGTAATTGCTTCTCCTGACCATGTGGCCATAAATTACTATTTCAATCTTTTCTCACACCTTATGATGAAACAATGTGATGGCCATTAGAGATGAATAAGATCATGGTAAGCAGATTTTCTATTGAGAATTTAAAACTAACATTTGAAAAGCATTTCTAAGGTACAAAAATAAATGACTTAAAACTGCTTCCTTCACCTTCATTTTGGGAGCACAAAACCAGAATGAAGTTCTAAAATTCTGAAGAGAGATGTACTTTAGGATTGCTGGGTTATGAAATTGTGGTTTCTTGTCATTTCCGTTTATAAAGGCAACGCTGACTTGAACTGTGCACTGCTAGTGACTAGGGCTCTTCTTAGACTAGCAAAATGAATTCAATTATCTTCAGATCTCTCCCTCAGTAATGGCAGAGAATAAGGGCATGGGATATATAAAAAGTGCTGGGACAACCAAAAAAATATGTTATTGAGCACATTTGAGTGTGTGTATGTATGTGTTTTTACAGAATATACTGTGTGTTTGCCATTATAATGTCATACTGATGAGTCAGTAAAAACTAAAAAGTAACTCATTGAATTATTCTTTCATCCTTTGCCAGCCAATTCCTTTATGAAAGATGTCATGCTGAAAACAAACAGGATAATCCAAGCATCAAACGAAACACAACTCTCTTATCAGATCACTTTCTTTCTGTTTCATATTTCTTAAGAACCATAATTTTGAATATTTTATGTCAAGAACTCTTCCTTGCTGGACAAGAGATTCATATAGAAATAAAATGATCAAGAAAAATATCGAAAAGGGAGTTTTGAGAGTGGATGATATCACAGGGAATAACAAAAATAATATTTCATGAAGATCAATTATAATTCAGATAATTCACTTCTTGCTAGTAAAAAATTCATATTCTTTCCCCAAACTTCAGAAACTATATCACAGCTTTTATATTTATCTGAATAATGAGTTATTTGTTGAAGCTTATGAAAATTGGAACCTTCATAAATATAAACCCCCATATAATTCCATTTCCTTTAGACAAGGGAGATTTGTGAAAGTTATTCTCATCTTTTTCAGGAACTACAGCCATCTGAACTTCTAAGAGATGGATTAAGTAAATAAGGTTTTAGTTCATAACAGTGGATTTGTTGAATAGTTTATAAAATGAAATATTGAAAGTATTGGTGGTAGGAATGGATGTATATGCATGACTTCATATATTCATATATTCACACATACATACCATTATTTGTTGAGTCCAGACAGAGGGAATAAAACAGCTTGACTATAATGGGTAAACAGAGTATGTAGTGAGTCAAGGCCTGGTTTCCTAGGACTCAGCTTTGGAAGGAGGTACAGACACCAGTTCCCCAGAAGAGCTGACCACTGGGTGTGATGTCCAAGTTCAGCAAGCTGCAAACTTTTATCTATACAGGGAGTAAAAGTTTAGGGCCCTGAGAAGGAATACCCAACATGTCCGTAGGTCTTTGGAGCTCTTTTTCATTGTTCAAAACCAAACCTAATATCACCACCAAGCCTCTGCTGAATGTAGGAATACTTAGTTTCAAAGAAAATGAAGCAGATAATTTTAGCTCTAGAAAAAGAATGTATTTAAGAAAAGGAAAGGTAATCTTAGCTCATCACTTGGCTCAATTGTGCACAAAATTTGTATATTGAAGAAAACACACTATATAGTTTTTTAAGGAAATAAAACAGAAAGAATGGAAGATAATTTCCTAAGGAGCATGAATTGGGGTATAGGTATATAAGATAGATAAGTGAATGGAAACTTTTATCTACCATAATAAGAAATCAATAATGTCTAAAATCAATTAATCAAGAAGTATTATTTTAAAATACAGAGAAAAGAAACAGGGGTTTCCTGTATCATTAGATGAGTGGCGTGGTGAGAAAAGAGTGTATTTTCTTTAAGACTTTAGACACTGTTTGACATATATTTGCATGTAATATCATGATGACCAATTAAAAAACTTTAAAGAAGTCTTTCCTCAGTCCCGAACCCTCCCACCCTGAGCCCCATCTGTAATAACTGAGATATAGTATATAGTATATATGTATAATATACTATATAGATATAGTATATATACTGTATATAGTAGATGTCACATGTGTGCCTCTCTTCCCAGACTAGAAGAACTGTCTTGTTCACTGTTGATCCCCAGTGTCTAAATCCTGCTAAGGGCTTCGCTCCTTTGGGGAATAATGAATGAAGGTTGTTATTCTTGGGGAAAAAACAGCTGAATGACTGGAATTGGGGTTAAGTCTTTCAGAACTTTGGGACCATATTTATAGTTGCAGTAAATAGCACTAATAGTGTAGTAATGGTAATAATTACTATTGGATAGCTGAAAACACCATCCCCCAAGAACCAGATTATACCAAGCCTAGGTATGGAAACATGACAATGGCCTGTCTAGAACACTTGTCCCTTACATTCCAGTTTCTACACTAGACTTCATGTTTAATTTAAAGTAAATGACTAGGGCCCTGCCTGGTGGTACAGTAGCACTATGAAGCTATCTGCAGCCACTGCAGCATGAGCTCAATCCCCAGCCAGGGAGGTGACCCACACAGCACAGCAGACCTCTCCTGACCCGCCTGCTGCTCCCCTTAACAGTGTATTTCAATCAGTCTGCCTGTTTTGCACCCCACTCTGTCTCTGGTTAATCCTCTCACTCTCCACCCCACACCTCTGGCTTGTATCCCCATTCTTGTACGCACAAATAAATAAATCTTTAAAAAAATAAAATGACTGACAAAGGACTAGTCTTTCTATGCCTCATTCTATGTACTCTGCCTCATCCTTCCCTGCACTGAGTCCTCGTGCCACCCCAAAATATTGATCCAGGTTAGTCCAAACTTCTCAGTACTCTACTGTTGTCGCATTCTCCTTGAAGAACTGCATTGACACTTTACCCTCTAGAGTCTAGGGTTCTCTTCTTTCTCCCCTAAAAGCTCCAGAACCTGGCCTCACTGGCCCACCCATGTTACTTCTCACACACCTCCCCACAGTTTACCAAGCCACTGATCAAGCCAGTCTTGTCACTACATCATACTCAGCCCTGTCGCCTGCCTTTCATTATTCCTTTTCTCCAGAAAGACAAGAGCATCCCTGTGATCTGGGAATATTGTTTTACTATTGAAACATCTACAAAAATAGTCTTCATTTATTTAAGAAATAATGTACTGCAGTCTCTTATTTTACTGCTAAGGAAACCACCTTAAATTGATATTAAAATCAACATTCCTAAATAGAAAAAGGTTGCCTTAAAAAAGACATTATTCCAATGAACTATTAAAAAAAAGAGTATTCCTGGCCCTCCCTGGTGGCGCAGCGGGTTAAAGCACTGCACTGAGAAGCTAAAGCCACTTCAGCATGAGTTCGATTCCTGCCTGCCCTGGAGGTGACCACATGGCGTGGCAGACCTCTCCTGACCCGCCCGCTGC